AAATGCTTTAGGAAGGTGATGTTACAAAAAAATTATAGTTTCCCCTGTAAGTTTGCATTTATTCTGGAGAAAGAAATATCTCAGCTTGATGCATTCTACTCCTCTCAAGTATGCAGTGTAATTACATTGTAGAAAAGAGATAACTATGTCACTAAATATGCCCTGAAACTGGGTCTAACCGCACTGATAATAAAGATTTTGGGGAGAAAAGAAAAAGAAAAGGGAAGTTGGGCCCTTGTTTCTAGTTGGCTCTTACTTAAAAATAAAATTCTATATATTGTAAAATAAGACAGGCAGGACTTATCATAGTTTCATGCTATCAATTTTCCCCCTGAAGCAAAAGAAAATATTTGCAGTTGTACCTAAAAATTTGATCATGGAAGGTTTTTGGAAAACCAGTTTTGTGTGTTTGGAGCTTTCAAAGAAAAACTGGACTTGGGAGTTTTTCATGGCTGTTTTAAAACTATTGGAAAGTTACCAACTTTGACTATCAGTGCAAATCTGAGGCAGGAAGTACTCAAGAAATCCTAAACTCATTCTTTTCCTCTGCAAGGTTTTCTGTATTGCATATGTAAGGAATGTGTTTAAGGGTTGTTTTGTTTTGCTTTTGAAGGATCTGGACATTCCTCTTTCTTTGCCTACTCCCTACTCCTTGTGTTCAAGTGATTGTTCTCCTGATGGCAGAGTCAGCTGGACTCCAGCTAGGCTCAGCCAGGGTGGCAGTCCAGGATGCAGAGGATGAAACTTCTGCCTGAGATGAGTGGCACTTGGTGGATTCCTCCATGCACTTGACCGTTTCCCCACACAAAGCTCTGAACATCATCTGAGTGTGGTGCTAGCCAGGGAGATCCTGTGAGGGTTCTCTATTCTGAGCCACTGTCTTTAAGGAAATGCAATAGTGATGTGAGAGCAGCAAGTCAGAAACTTCACATGGGATTTCAGAAGCCTATAGACTGGGGTGTGCCTGGTTCATGAGAGATAAAAGTCTCACAGACTTTCCTACCCTGGCAGGCTTCCAAAGACAATTCTCAGACCTCAGCCTCCTAAGTAGCTAGAATTACAGGCATGAGCCACAGGCAGGTGATTCCTTAAATTTTACAAAGAAGACTAATGTCTTCCAAATGTTACCTATCAATATACCAATCAAGGACCTCGGGTTTTTTTGTTTGTTTGTTTGTCTGCCTGGGTTTTGTTTATAGATTTTTCTTCTTTCAAATAGTTTATTTTCCAAGAGCCTCCTCAATGCCCTAAAATGTATGAAGATTTATCATGAAACTTACTTGGAATCTTATAATTCAAGAGCAACAGACTTGTTTTCTGAGTACTTGAAAAAGTTGGCTCACGACTAATCAAGTATCATTTTGTCATGAAACTAATTAAATACATTTGGACCTTTGTTATTCTCTAAAATTTGCTGATTATTCTGCACAGCCTTTCAAACAACAAATCTGCTTGGATAAATTGTTTTTATTTTTTAATCAATCATGTCTATAATTTAAATACTGTAATATGTCAATAAGATTTCTGATTTTTCCTGAACCAAAAGAAATGTTTCCTATTAAAGTTGCTTTTTCTTTTTCTTCCTTTTATTTCGCCCAAGAAAAATATTAGTCAAAAGAAAAATCAAGAAAATGTGAGAAGTTGCTAGAAGTTGCTAGAAATTACAGCTACAGGTCAACTGCTGGGTTTCATGGGACTGAACTTAATGCATCTTTCTAATATAAAACGTTTAGGACATTTGGAAAATTATTCAACGGATGAAAATAAACATCCAATTTCTTTTGTCAGACAAAGTAGAGAAGTTGGTTGTAATATACAGGGAACTGGAAGGAGAGAAGCCAGGGAAAGATCACAAGTTTCTCTAAAACTTTAAATTTGAAGAAATGGAAAACATTTGCACTTATTTTTAAAATGCCAACTTCATGTTAGGTGCTAGTTAGACTTAGCTATTAGGAAGGCTAAGATCTGAGGAGCACAGTTCAAAGCCAGCACAAGCAGAAAAGTCCATAAAACTCTATTTCCAAGTAACAACTAAAAAGTGAGAAATGAATCTGTGGCTCAAGTGGTTAGAATGCCAAAAGGCTAAGGGATATTACCCAGGTCCTACACACACACACACACACACACACACACACACACCAAATTCATGTTGATTTTTTGTAAGAAAATTGAAGCTGTATTTAATATTACACTATTTGAATAAATGCTTTAGCCTATTTTGCATTTCTGAATAATTCTAATATTTTAATTCTTTTAAATACCATGAAGTTCTCCCCACAGGAAACAACAACAACAACAAACGAATGTCAGCAAATACCTCTTAAGGTAAAATAATATCACAATTTTTATTACCTGTAGAATTCTACTTGTTTCAACTACAAGGATTCTTTCTCTATTAGAATAATCTTTAATAGTTGACTTTAAATTATAACACAAGCCAAGGATAGAAGAGCAGATTTTATTAATTCCATCCAGACTTACCATATGAATAGAAGCAGCAAGCACTTTTGCTAAAATGCTTGTGAATTACAGTTCGAAAGGTAAGTACAAAAGAGGCAAAAAGTAATATGGAAATAATCCAGCTGTTTTCTCCTCAATAGTGGGACATACTAGTGTTTCTCCGAACTGGATTAACCCTGTCAGAAAGTCCTCATGTGTTACAACACAATTGCATATTACTTCCACCCGTTCTGTATCTGAGTTTCAACACAGCATCTATTTCTCTCTTTAGCTTCCAGGGGTGTCACTAATGCCTGTCATTTCAGAAGCTCTGTAATAGTTTAGACAACTGCACAGCACTGTCAAAAGTTTACCTCATAATAGTCCATATGAACTGCCCAGATAGCCAATGCAGCTGATCTTTACCTTCCCTACACCCTGATCTGATTACTGGAATATCAGTTTAGAATCCCTAATGGGTCTAGCTTCTTAAAAAATGTTCCAAAAGTTGATGGCTTAGGCTAGCTTGAAAGTAACAAGATCCAGATGCCTTTGGTCCACACAGAATTAAACTATATAGGACCCCAAAAGAGATTTTTGTAGAACTTTCTCTTTATTTTTCAGGCTGACTTCTTTTTCTTTGTCGAACTTTGCTCTCCCAATCTCTGTCTCTGTCTCTTCTGTCTTCTTCTCTCCCCCTCTCTCTCTCTCATACACACATACACACAAATACACACACACACACACACACACACACACACACATAAACACACACACACACACACACACTTTCTACAAGGGTAGCTCATCTGGCCCTCAGAGTCTTTCATGCAATATCCACAGCATGCATTACTTCCTGCCAGTCATCAGTTAAGAGAAATCCCAAGCAGAGAGGAAAAAAAAACTAAAACAAACAAACAAATGATAGTTCATTCATCCCAATCTAAAGTTTCTTTGCTGAGAATATGTAATAATAGAAACCAAGGACCAAAACAAAACCCAATTTTTAAAAAATGGAAACATGTAGCCAAATGAGTTAAAGGGATGGAATGTTGGGTGTTTTTCAGGCAATCCTTGAGCTTATTGTTTTTGTGACTTTAGAGGGTGAGAAATGACTGTGACTTCCCCTTTGGAAAGCTGTGTTCCTTTGGCCAGTGCCTTCAGGAAGGGAAATCCCCCAAAGAGTTAAAACTCAGGACACCAACCAAGCCGGAGGGCTGGTCTATTTAAGCAGCAGCAGCCACACAAACTAAATGCTCACAAAGGCAAAAAGCCTGCAAGTCGACCTTGGAGGGGCAGGGTAGATCATAAGAACAGTCAAAGAAAGGAAAAAGAACTAAACCAAACCAAAACAACAACAATCTCTAATGCAATATTGAAAGTTGGCTGTCAGAAGTAGGCATTGTTTGATGAGAAAGCATAAATGAGAGATAACTATAGCATGTATTACCAAACCGAACACACCGTAAGTCCTGGTGACTGCACAGATCCTCAGCATGACTCATTTACTCTTGTATATTTACTTATTAAGAAGATGGTGGTGTCTGGTGAATGTCATACAAACTAATAGCACCGATGTACTCAAGGTAGTTACTCTCAACATTTTCCCTTAAATCAAATCGGATTTACTTGACAAATCCAGGCAGAGATTTCACACTTGAACCGTATCTCAATTGCAAGAGAAAGTTCAGGATTGTCACTGCTCATTGCTTACTGAAGAGGACTTGTTTCTGGTTCCCTGATGATCATTTAAGCACACTCACACAAAGCCCAAAGTATTTAACCAATTCAAGTCCAATTATGATCAATTACATCCCCTGCCTTTTTTTTTTTTTCAAGACCCAAGGCCTTCTGATGCCAGCTACCACGGACAAACGGGGGCTAAAAAGTAAACAACGGTTGTAAAGCTGCCAGAACAATTTCATAGCATTCTAGTCATGCTTAATATAACCTGAAGATAACCTAAAAATAAATAAATAAATAAAAACACACCCAAACAAACTCTAAAAGACTTTTTTGATCAGTGCCCCAGAGGTCCCTACACCCTGCTTTCATTGGACTCCTAGCAAGGAAAAGTTTGTCCAGCCCCACCCTGGCTGGCATGCCCTATGATGGGAAAAACCCTGAGGAGACCCACAGACAAAGAACAGCTCACCAGAAAAGCCCCTCAAATGATATTCCCGCTCCTTGTAATCACTGCTAGGATCCCCTTTCTTTGAAAACTAAAAATAAAATAAACCAAAACCAAACCCTCCTCCTCTGCAAAGGACTTGAGGGCTCTATCAGGCCCATTGATCCTACCAAATAACAACAAAAGAACTGGAGTGAAACTATTATCAGTCCTCAAAGAGAAAGCTTCAATGAGGGGCTGGCTGCCTTGCTTCTCACATCTTCCTCTGCCTCATTAACTCCAATGGTATGTTACTAATTTCGAAGGAGCAGGAAGAGGTTGCTGGGGTTGAGGGTGAAAGAATCACTCTCACGCCTGTCTGCTTCCCATCCCAGTGTAGACAGACAGCACACTGACTGCCAGACACGCCGGTTGGTCGGTCAAGCCATACCTTGGTTTGGAGATAATGAGGGTAGTAGTAGGTGTACTGGGGGTACATTTGTGGCTGGTCCAGGCGTTTGCCCATGAAGCTGGAATCTTTTATCTCCGAGGGAGGGAACTGGATGACAGTGTAGAGTGCCCCAGGCCGAGCGTCCTCTTAATCCACTACTCGTGACAGTCCCAGTCGGAGTGACGGATGAGGCTACTTCCAACACGGCAAGAATTTGAAGAAACAAACCAAACAAAAACACCCCGCAAAGGGAAAAGAAGAGAACGGACGCACAGTGAGGTCTGTAGAAAACCCCGGGTCACCAGCACCAGCTTCCTCCCGGCTGCCTGCCCGGTCCACTCCGATGAAGCGGTTTGCTCTCTAACCAGACGTTTGTAGTGATGTCAATTTGCCAGCGTTTGAAAAGGGGGGAGAGGGAAGAAAGAGAAGAAAAAAAAAAAAAGCCAAAGTCCCTTTTAGCACAACTCGGATTCTTTGCAAATCAGCTTCCTGTCTCGTGTTTTGTCTCCTTCCCACCTTAAAGAAAAAGGAGGGAATGAAAAGAAAGGAAAGGGAACCAAAAGAAAGAAGGGAAAGGAAAAGAAAGGAAAAGGAAAGGGGGGAAACATAAACGAAAAATAAAAGAGGGGGGGGAAAGAAAAGAAAAGAAAGAAAATCTCGCACAGCTTAGTTGCTGCTGTCTCCCTCCCAGAGTGACATGATGTTCGGGGCTCGTCCTGTCTTTCCATTCATTTCCCCTCCTTCCAGCAGTGGGTGGAACCCAGGGAGTCTCTCCAGGGAGCGGCGAACGCAGGCCAGAAGGCTGCAGTATTTCCTCCAAGAGAGAGAGAGAGAAAAAAAAACAGACAGAAAGAAAGAAAGAAAGAAAGGCTGCCTCCACCCCGCTGCACGCAAACTTGCGATCCCTCTGCTGGCTGGCTGGCGTAGCAGAGCGGCTGTGCTGCAGCAACCGAGATCCCTGGGAACCCCAGGCTGGCCTGCCCTCCACCATCCACCCCGCACCCCGGCTGCTTTTCCTTGCCTTGCCAAGTTGCCCAGGTAAGCCACATTCTAAACACCAAACAGCCCTAAGACCCTGGAAGGGAAAAGAAGAAGAGGACACTGGAGGAAAGGAGCGGGGCGGGAGGGGGGAGAAAGAGAAATAATAATATAATATGATCATAATAATAATAATTAATAATATAACAAAGACAGGAACTAACCTTGCTGGGTGGAGGGGAGGTTGGGGGGGGAGGGGGGGAAGTGTCCAGGGTGCTTTTAAAAGCTATGGGACGCACGACAACCAGATGCATTCCAGACCTGATGGAGAAACTAACCTTTTGCTTTCCGGAGGCTGCTAGGAGTATGTTATTTTATTTCTGTTACCCTCTTACTCCGGGAAGGCTACTACCACCGAGCCAAGCACCGTGGACTGGACCGATCAACTTAGTAGATAGTAGAAAGCACCCTCCCGCTGACATCAATTTGGTTTAAAAAAAAAATGATGTGACCCCTAAGGTTGATGAGCTTCTTTTTGAATAAAATCACTGCTCTGCCCATTGTCTTGCGTTATGATTACTTAGATAATGTTTTCATGGCTATACTGATAACATCTCCCCCCCCAAAAAAAAGGAACCAAAAAAAATCATAATTACTTGGCAGAGTTCTCCCCTACCAATAATATTAACAACAATAATAATAATCTGGCCTGTCGATCAGCTGGCACATTCTAATACAAATTCTTTCAGAGAAAATCTATTTCCTTAAAGGGTCCCTTTTTCAAGGCGGCGGCAGCAGTGAGGCTAAAATTAGCCGAGCCAGCTGTGTTTTGCAGCCAGTGCTCACGCATGCCCGGAGCTTGGGCAGGCGCTCCGCAGCCCAGCCCGCACAGCCCGCACAGACAGCCAGTGAGCGCCTCTTTACTTTGTCAAGGCGGCTCTGTTCTCTAGAGTTGCGTCTCCGATAAAAGGTTCCTGGGACAGACCCAGGAAGGAACATTGGGGCTCAGTGCACACATAGGGTGTTCACCCACATACACACTCCGCCACCCCTGGAGGCAGCTGGCTTGGACTGAGGAAAACCGATTTTTTTTTTTTGGAACCTGTGTATGAGCCTGTGTGTTCCTTGGAGAAAGATAAGGGTGGTGGGTAAATAAGTTGTATGTTTTACTTTTGACAAGAATAACCATCCGGAGGAAGGAAACAAAGAAGGAAGACGGAGGGGAGGGGAAAAGGAGGGAGACAGCGAGAGGAGAGTGGGAAGGCTGGTGCCATGGAGAACATTCGGTTCACTCCACCGAAGTTGGAAATGTGCTCTTTCAGGCCTCAGTGGACCCATCTATACAATGGAAATGCTTGGCTGGGCGCCAGAAGCTTACACCTGTATTCCCAGCTATTCAGGAGGTTGAGACCTGAGGACTGAGGTTTGAAGTCAGCCCCTTCCCCCCTTGAATCTGTCCCTCTCCTTCTGTCCCCAGTCACAGAGAGCTGCTACAAGACCTGAATGAACGTCCCATTGCCTCAGTGCTCTCTAGTTCCAGATCCACTTCTGGTTCCTTCATGGGCATCCATCCTTCCAGGCTCCGCCTGGGCACCCTTTATGGAGTAGCTTTCCTTAATCATGTGTGCTGTGGTAGTTAATAGATTGCCTCAGTGCTCTCTAGTTCCAGATCCACTTCTGGTTCCTTCATGGGCATCCATCCTTCCAGGCTCCGCCTGGGCACCCTTTATGGAGTAGCTTTCCTTAATCATGTGTGCTGTGGTAGTTAATAGATTGTTTACCTTACTGTGTCTGCCCCATTGATTGCTTCTTTTCTTCCCTGATGTTCTAAATTCTAAGAGAGCAGACCATTTCATTTTTGTTCACCTTCCTTTCTCCAAAAGGACTAGTGCAAGTCGGATACAAAATGAATATTCCACAAATATGTGAAGAACAAAATATATTAAGGCTGATCAGTCATTATATCCCAACTCAGATCTTTGCTTTAGTCTGTGCTATGGGTCAGGAGGTAAGCTATACAAGGATCAGAGCTATACAAGGATCACAGACCTTTCCTTCTAGTGGGCAGAGAGGAATCAGCAAAGGAATAAATAGATACATAGAATAACATCAAACATTCGGTGCTGTAAGGAAATAGAAGGCACAGTAAAGAAAAACAGAGTCTTAGGCATTCTATTTTTTTAAAAGGTGGCCAAAGCAGGCACAGGTGACTTACCCCTTTAAACTTATTTACTTATGAAGCTGAAACTGAGGATCCTGGTTCGAAGCCAGCCCTGGTAGAAAACCCTGTGAAACTCTTAAATGTAAAAGCCTAGTGAGAACAGAAGGCCCTGGATTCAAGCTCCATAGTAGAATGCACTGATATGTGTGTGTGTGTGTGTGTGTGTGTGTGTGTGTGTATGTGTCTTTCTCTCTGTCTCTGTCTCTCTCTGTCTGTCTCTGTCTCTCTCTGTCTGTCTCTTTCTCTCTCTCTGTCTCTGTCTCTGTCTCTCTGTCTCTCTGTCTCTCTCTCTTTCTCTCTCTCTCTCTCTCTCTCTCTCTCTCTCTCTCTCTCTCTCTCTCTCTCTTTCTCTCTCTCTCTCTCTCTCTCTCACACACACACACACACACAGAGCCAGGCATATGTTCTCGAAAAATTGCCTTGAGGTTGGAGAGAGAGTATGAGCTGAGTCCTAGATTGGGGGTATTGAAATAATGGAGTACTTATAGGTAAAGCCTTGGCTTCCAACCAGCCCACCTGGGCTTCAGTTCATCCTCTGCTGCATTCATCTGTCCCTGTCTATTCATCCCTCCAATATCAGTGTACAACACACTTAGGGGAAAAGCGTGGTTATAGGGAACCCCAGTAGAAAAAGCTTTCTCTGAAAATCTGTGGTAGTTTGGGCCCATAGACTAAAATAAACCCAATGAAGGATAAAGACCATAAGATGAGCCTGGGAAGGAGTTGGGGAGGGACTCTGGCACAGATCACACAGGCTGGGTAACAATTTGATGTGGAAAGGTAAACAAGGACTCCATCTAATTACTCTGACCTGAGATACAGACAACCCATAAATAAGGCTGGTGTCCTAAATGGATTGTTGAGCTCCTCTAAAGGCTAAGACCTGCCATGGACTTCAGTATTTTTATAGGAGTAACTGGCCTGAATCTCCTTGAAGGAAAAAAAAAAACCCAACTTTTTTATTTACAAATGAAAGGCCAAATAAATAACTGCAGCCAAAGCTCTAGCCCACTTACATGTAAAGTTCTCAGCGTGTGTTGAAGCTATCAGCAATTTCTACACAAATTGCCACTTTCCAAGTTTCTATTCTGTTCCATTGGATTATTGTAATGTTCTGGGCATCAATTGTCATTAGCCTAAGAATACTCATTGCCCATTTAAAGCCTTTCTTAAGTAACACAAAGTGTGTTTACCACTTGTAAGAATTGTAAAACCTGTGTTCTTACTTACTTCATTTTATTCTATCCTATTCTCTCTTTTCAGCAGCACTAGTAGCCGTGGCAATTCAGAAGGCAAGATGCTCATGTCAGAAATCGTTTCTCTATCATTTCTGCTCTGTTGGAGCAGTAGTATTTTCCATTTAAATGATCAAGCTAAGGTAGGAGGTGACTGGTTTAAGGCACTCACCAAATCAGAAGACAGCTGGGCCCCATTTGTCAACTAAGGAACGAATTTCTTACAGACTCTGGAGCAGCAAATGGCATCCAAGGCATGGGTGCCCTCAGCTAACGTGATGCCAAGCCTGACCAGAAGAGACACTCGCTGAAGATGTGCTCTTGATGAAGAAGACTGAGATGCCCCAGACACCATGCAGGGGAGAAGGAGAGGTGATGATACTGAAATAGAATCAGAGGGGACAAATAGAAACCTTCTTCTGGTTTGCCCTTGACCTTTCCACTCAAAGGAAAGCTGTATTCTGTAGACTGTCTTTTTTTAAATTATACAGTCGTAGTGAAAAGTAAAACACATGAGCCACAAACACACAAGGGAAAGCAAGAGCTCTAGTACTGTACTTTGAAAAATAAGTGTATTATTTAACCATCGGCAAGGACATTCATGACATTGAATTTTTTTTTTTTGGTAGGTTGTGGGGCTTGAACTCTGGGCCTGGGTGCTGTCCCTCAGTTCTTCAGCTAGCACTCTACTACTTGAGCCACAGCACCACTCGCAGTTTTCTGGTGGTTTCTTAGAGATAAGTCTTACAGACTTTCCTGCCTGAGCTGGCTTTGAACAACAATCCTCACATCTCAGCCTCCTTAGTAGTTAGGATTACAGGTGTGAGCCACTGGTACCTGACTTGAATAATTTTTAAAAAATAATCTGGACATTTTCCTACTTATTTATTCAAATTTGTGAAATTCCTTTTTATACAACACTTGTCAAAAGATGGATATTACATGTAAAAACTATTCTTAAAAATCTGACAAAAGACATTTTGTTTCATGAACACTTTTCTCCTGAACACTGACTAACAGATTAGGAAACATCCTAGACAAATGAGGAGAATCTCAACAGTTATAAGCATGTTTGTCTAAATTTAAAGTATAATTGAACAAAAGTATTAATACCAAGCTGAGCATAGTGACTCACATCTATAATCCTAGCTATCT